CCCCAAAACCCCAAAACCCCAAAACCCCAAAACCCCATTAATTGACATAGTCCTTGAAATTTTAATAAATTATCTTATTTTTATAAATGGAATCCTTTAGTGTGGACACTGTTGATGACCTCATTACTGAGTGGTACTCTAATAAATTTGAAGAACTTGGAACCATTGGCTTTGAATTTGGGGAAATTACAAAAGATTCACAGAAAAATACCTTCACTTTCAGCTTTAAAGTTGGAAATAATTCCTTCATGTTTGTATATGACCAGTCTTTTTCATTCCGAACAGCAGACATGGAGGTGGATGCAGAACAGGAGCTCATTTCCAGGCTAAATCAGATAATTGAGAATTCTGGTGCAACAGCTTTTGAATGCCTTGATCATTTCCTCAGCACATTTAGAAACCTGAAGAGTGAAAAGGGTAAAAAAGAGTCTGATAAAGTCTGAGATGCTTCAATGGAAGAAGACGAAGAAGATGGTGAAGGAGAAGATGTCCCTGGATGGTCAGATGAAGAGGAAGAAGATGAATACAAAGAAGATTCTAATAACCCAGGTCTGAAGGAAGGGCAGGACCCTGAATCTAGCCAAGCATTGCTCTCAATAACCAATATTTTTAAACAAAATGTAACTATGAGCAGTGAACAAGCAATGAAAATTTTCCTAAGACTAAAGATCTTCGAGAATGTAAATGAACTGAAAAGACTTGTTGAAGAGAATAATATCGAAATCCTGGCTTCTTCTTTCAGAGTGCAGGTCTTTGAGCCTTACTTGATGATCAAGTTCACAGTTGATCTGAACTACCTGAGCATTCCTCATACTGTGTATGAGTCGCTTGGATTCAAGATGCAAGAGTTGGTTGAATATCTGATAGTATTTGATGAAAGCAAACTATTATTATTTGAGGATGACCCATCAATTTACTCTAAAGACCTGACAGAGCTACTTAACCTTGGAGTCGTCAAAATAGAATTTGCACAGCAAAATAATGATGCAGGGAATGACAGATACATGTCTTATCTGCAAATGCTTCATGCAAGTTTCTTTGAGTTAGAAGGAGAAGCTGGGGACACAGATGGATTCCAATCATGCGACAATGAGACCGTTAGTCTAGCTAAAGCTACACTTTTAGAAATGGGATTTGAAGACTCAGTTGCTAAAAAAGGATTAAGGAGAAATAGATACAATCTTCAGAATACAATAAACTATTTGCTCATGATGAGAAACAAATGAGAAGAAGAGGTGAAGGAATATCAAGAAGGTCTTGACATTGAGGATGTTGACCCTAAATTTATGCTCTTCAACAACGTCACTACTGAACAGCTTCTTAACAATTCTCTGCTCCATTACTTTAAGCATATTATTTGTTCTCTTGACAGTGTGCTTGAATACTGATGAATCTGAAGAGACAAGCTCTCGACCAACTCCACCAAGATCAGATGTTGCAACAAAGAACTATGAGAGTTTTCTTTCGAAGAATCGCAGGGTATCTACATCATTCCAGAGATAAAGAATGACTTGGCCACATTCTCTTTGGATTTGTCCATATTTTCTGAATGATTAATGTCAAGCAGAGCAGGCCAATGATTCGAACCCTTTCCTTCATACTTCTTAAAATAAACGTGAACTACGAAGTAAAAGAGGATACCTTGACAACATTCAGAAAGCAAGAGAAACAGGACAGCAAGAGATACAAGAGACAAAGGCAAACAACAAAGATCTTAACCGGATGAGAAGCATCTTCAAAATGCTTCCTGCTCCTGATAAGCTTATCAAAGATAGGCATAATGATTCAGATTTGGTAGAATTATTCAGTAAGCTTCCAAAGGTAGGCCATGAAAGCCTGGCTATCTACAAGCTTTTGCAATACCTGGTATGCACTAACAAAGTGAGCTTTAAGCAGCTCTCAGATGATGACAAACTTTCTGGAGTTGATGGTTTTGATGAATACATTATTTACAATAATGAATCTAATAAGGAAGAAGCCTTCCAAGAAATGAAGCGGAAGAAAGATTCTGTATGGACTTTCCATGGAAGTAGCATGGAAAATTGGTATAGCATTCTCAGGAATGGTCCAAGGAACCTGTCTCATACAAAGATGATGACGGCTGGAGCTGCTAGAGGAGCTGGTGTTTACTCAGCAAGTGCTTTTGCTACTGCGTCTGGGTATGCCAAACCAAGGAATAATAATACTCATAATTATGGAGGAGCACCTGGTATGCCAAGCTGGAGACACTCCAAGGTAAAATCAAAGTGAATCATTGGAGTGCTAGAAATCATTAAGAATCCATCTTATGGACAGAATAGAAACAATGATTCTTCACAAGCTGATTACAGTATTGTTGTATGTCCTGATGACCACTGAATCATGCTAAGATACATCTGGGTATTCTCTCAGAACGATATGTATGGAGGAGGAGCTGCTAGAAACAGCCTTAAAACAAATAATATCCCTTTTGAAAGTAAATACTATTCGGCTGTCAGAGAAATACAGGAGGAACAAATGAATCTTAGAAAAGAAAGACTATTAGAAGCCCATAAAAGAGCCAAAGAAAGATATGAGGAAGAGCTTGAGCTTAAAAAGAAGATTGATTTGCAAGTAAAAGAACAGCATGAGAACGATAAAGCAAAGGAGAAGGAGCAGCAGATTGATCAAAGGATCAACAGGCTTGAGAACAAAATGATAGGGAAAGGAAGCGTGACTGCTACTAAAAGAATTTTAAAAGAATACAAGCACTTTCAGACATCATCTGATATCAAAAATTTCGAAATAAAACTACCAAATGATAATTTCTATAAATGGGTTGTCTCTCTGGATATTCTGAAGTTTGAATTGACACCAGAGCTGAAAGAAGACTTTGAGTGGATGAAACAACAAACTGGAAATGACCCTGAGCTACAATTTGAGATAATGTATACCTCATCTTTTCCATTCGATCCTCCTTTTATCAGAGTTGTCAAGCCAATATTCAAGTTTCATACTGGACATGTGACTGTCGGTGGATCTTTATGAATGGAAAGTTTAACTCCTTCTGGATGGTCTTCAGCAAGATCAATAGAAGGAATCTTTGTTGAAATCCTCAGCATTATCCTCCAAGGAGGGGCAAGGATCGAGAAATCTAGACTAGGCCATACCTATTCGATCCAAGAAGCAAGAGCTGCTTTTGAGAGAGTAGCTAAACATCACGGCTGGCTTTAAATGTATGAAAAATTTGTTTCAATAAACTTAAAGGATTGAGGGGTTTTGGGGTTTTGGGGTTTTGGGG